TGGGGTTTCAAGCTGTCCTCCACTAAATCCAAATTTATGGCTTTTGGTTACCGCACGAAGGTCTCCGGAAGGGGTTTGCTGCCGGATGGGTTGGAACTGGAACGGGTTTCTTCTTATAAGTATCTAGGACTGTGGTTTGATGATAGGCACACATGGGGGATGCATGTTTGTAATTTAGTATGGAGGTGTGAACGTGTGTTGAACGTTAAGCGCTGCCTGGCTGGGACATCTTAGGGGGCGGACAGGAACTCCTTGTTGCTGGTGTATAGGGGCATGCTTAGGTCAGTTTTGGATTTTGGTTGTTTCGTTTACGAGTTGGTAGCACCCACTACCCTAAAGCGCCTGGATGTGTTGCAGGTGCGGGTGTGTTGTGGGGCATTCTGCTCGAACCCGGTGCCAGCCGTTCTTGTAGAGGTGGGTGAGATACTCTTATGTTTCCGTCGGCTGCAGCTGGGATTACGATATCTGCTGAGGGTCAAGGGTATGGGTGAGTCCTCCCTTGCGGAGGCCTTGTTGGGCTGTGTTAGGGAGTTTTGTGGGTGGAGGCCGGCGGGCTCGTAGGGGCTTTCCGTATCTGCTGAGGAGCCGGGCAGTGAAGCTAGGATTCCTTGAGTGGCCTGTGTTTTCCTACCTGGTCTGGACCGAGGTCCCTCCGTGGCTTTTACCGGTTCCTGAGGTGGATTGCTCCTTTCTTGAGCGGGTTGGCGTCGGCAGTGGGGTGGGGGCGTTTGAGGTATATGTGGAGGAATCCTGGGGGGAGTATTTGCAGCTGTACTCTTGATGGCTCCAAAGACCCGGAGAGTGGCAGGGTGGCAGTTGGGCTGGCAGTGCCTGCTTCACGGTATCGATATGGTCGTAGGATAGAGGATAAGTGTGCTGTGTTCTCTGTGGAGTTGGTGGTGATTTGGTGGGCCCTGCAGTGGATTGAAGCACGGTTGCCGTCCCACTCTGTTGTGTGCTCAGATTCTGCAGCTGCTCTTTTGGCGATGAAGGAGCAGTGTTCCCGGTCAAGGCCTGACCTGTTGGCAGTGATTCGGATGCAGCTGCACAGGTTAGTGGTATTGGGGTATTTGGTGAGCTTTGTGTGGGTGCCTGGTCATGTAGGGGTGATGAGCAACGAGGAGGCGGACGCTGCTGCAAAGGATGCGCTGCGGCATCAGAACGTGGACATGAGAGTGGGGTTGGGTCTACCGGAGTGTCGCTCTGAGATTGGTCGAGTGGCTCTCAATATGTGGCAGGCCTCCTGAGATGCGGGGTTGGCTGGGCAGATGTATTACGGGCTGTGGCATTGTGTAGGAGTCCGTGGGCCGGTCCTTGAGTGTGGGAGGAGGGATTCTGTGGATTTGACACGCCTGAGGTTGGGACATAGCTGCCTTAGGGGAGGTTTTTTTTTGGTAGGTCGACATCTGGATGGCTGTTGTGCTTGCGGGGAGCGGGAAATGGTTGCTCATGTCCTACTGCACTGTTGTCTCTACGTGGTTGAGCGGCGGGCCTTGTTTAGCTTCCTGGGGACTGTTGGTGTGACTGTGTTTGGCCTGCGTACTTTGTTGGGGTTGGAAGATCGATGTGTTGAGGGGGCACTTTTGGCTTTTCTTCAAAAGGTTGGCGTGAACGGGAGGTTGTAAATCTTGGGCTATTGGCCATCGTTGCTGAGGCAGCAATACGCCTTGAAGGCGTCTTGCCTGCCATATCTCCCATTTGAAGAAGAAGAACACCTTGCCAGATGATTACTCAATATTTTCATTTCTATCCCTTCATAAACTGATGGTGTAGTTCATAGTCTTACTTTTTTTTACTTGAGGCACTAACCCTAACCCTAAAAAAGAAGGTAATTAAGAACAGGAAGTGGGCTGTCTGCTTTAATTCTGATCTATGTACAATAAAAAAAATCTTTAGAAAATTGGAAAGAACATGGTGCTCTACTTACTGGGAGGAGTCCTACTTATTCTGGAAAAATAGTCTTGTGATTTATAAAAATAAGCTTCGACAAACTAGAACTGCTTATTTCTCAGCGTTAATTTCGGTACAGTTGCCAAACTTACACAGAATCATAGCTCTGAACCATCCATTACCTTATCCTTCAGCAGCAACGACTTTATGGGATTTTTCACAAGTAAAATTAATTCTATCAGAAACAAAATAATTTGCATCCTCTCTAATGCGATTTCTTCTTCCTCAAAATGTGAGGCAGCATCAGAGGTAACTGTAGAACCTCATCTGTGTTTGAACTGTTTTGATTCAGTTGAGCTTTCAGAGTTATCAAAAATATTAGCTTCATCTAAACATTCAACTTTATTTTAGATCCAATCCTAACCAAATTATTTAAAGATGCATTTCATTTGGTTACTGCCCCCATTCTAGATATAATCAATCTATCCTTAGTGAATGGGTAAGTACAGCAGGATTTTTAGGTTACGGTAATCAAACCTCTACTTAAGAAACCTCTTGATCCAGATGACCTAATGAATTATAGACCAATATCTAACCGTCCATTTTTATCCAAAGTCCTTGAGAAAATGGAGGTCAGTCACATATGTGATTATCTAAAAGTTAATGATCTATTTGAGCAATTTCAGTCCGGTTTTAGAGAGTATCACCGCACTGAAACCCCATCAGTGAAAATTACAATTGATATTCTCATCACCTCAGATAAGAAACTTGTATCTGTTCTAGTCTTGTTAGATGGTTTAAATCCCACCTATCTGACAGATTTCATTTTGTAAATGTACATGACAAATCTTCATACTCCAGGGTTACTTGTGGAGAACCACAGGGTTCAGTGCTTGGCCAAATTATCTTTACTATATATATGCTTACAAATGGTAAAATCATTAGGCCCGTGGCTCACCGGAGGCAGACACGCTGTGCTATGTTGCGACCGTGATTTTGAGGAGTCAAGTAGTCACACATGATGCACTGCGCCTCTAAGCGCTTCTTGGAAAGTCATGCAATAGTCATAACATCGCACGGGAAGTTACTCTGTTTATACGTGAGCAGACTTGCTGTTGTGTTTTGTGAGACTCAAATTCATTAAAATGGGTAAGTACGCTATTTAATTCAATATTTATTGATCAATAGTACTTTAAAGTTATCAAAACTAGCTGGGTTTGTGCCTGCTATTGGGTTTGTGCCGTAAAGCTGTTCCGCATCGTAATGTCTGTTGTAAAGATAAACTGATAGAACTGGCAACTATCTTCAACGCTTCGGCACGGCACTTGTAGGGATGCGGCGCAGCACTGTCCGTGTGCCCACTCTCATTAACTATAATGGCTTCTATTTCAAATGACGGCGCATTTTAAGACTAGGCTTAAAACATTTTTATTTGATAGGGCCTATGCTTAAAATCTGATGTTAGCCCAGATCTGGACAAGTGGGAGAGTAGAGGGAGGTGGAGTGTACAGTCGGTAAAGACGGCTCTCCCTTGCCCTGCCTCCAACATGCCTCCATCTACAAGGCTAGGTTGTCCAGAGTTGTCTCTGTAGTTATGTTGCTGTGGGCTTAGACTGCTGGAGGACATACTAACCAATTTCCACACTCAACTATTTCCGTTTACACTATGCGTTTTAACTGCATTGTTTCCTACCTACCTAACTGGTTACTCCACATACGTATTTCATGAGCATTTTTTAAGTCAGAAGTACCCCTGATTATTTTGAGCCTGAGAAGGTTAACTTGGTGTACAATGGTGTTCTGCTGAGCTGTGGTAGCCTCATTGTTGGGTCACTGATTCAGTGCTACATAATTAAACTTGAATTGAATTGAAGGCTCTGGGGGTGGATGTTATCCGCCCGAAACGGGGGTACTCTGGGAGAATGGGGTACCATGCCCTCTGATACGGGCTGTTAGGTCCCTGTATGAGCGGTGTCAGAGCTTGGTCCACATTGCCGGCAGTAAGTCGGGGTCATTCTCAGTGAGAGTTGGACTCTGCCAAGGCTGCCCTTTGTCACCAATTCTGTTCATAACTTTTATTGACAGGATTTATAGGCCCGGCAAAGGAGTTGGGGGAATCCGATTTGATGGACAGAGGATCGTGTCTCTGCTTTTTGCAGATGATGTGGTCCTGTTGGCCTCATCAATACATGATCTTCAGCTTTCGCTGGAGCGGTTCACAGCCAAGTGGGAAGCAGCTGGGATGAGAATCGGCTCCTCTAAATCTGAGACCATGGTCTTGAATTGGAAAAGGGGATGAGGTTCTGCCCCAAGTGGAGGAGTTTACTTGGGGGTTTTAAATGTATGTGAGTTTTAAACATGCCTTCTAGTGAGTTAAAACCTTTAAAAAAGTTTTAACCAGGTGTTTTTAATGTTGATAATTGGTCTTTTAAAAGTTAACATTTTAATCTTGTTTTCATTTGGAATTATTTTACTAATGCTCACCATCTGTTTGCTCTCTTGTTTTAAGAACCTTTTATGACAAAGCAAACAAATTTTTAATTCCACTCCCCTGTTTCTTGTAAGCCCCACCCTTCACACATTTTACATCAGAGTCGGGGTTTAACACAGCTAAAAACATTTAAAAGAAGTTTTGTTGGCAAGGTGTCCAGACAGCAGGTAGATGAATTTAAGATCGTTATTATGTCCCCCAGTGTTTTAGCAGTAATCACACTGAAAACTGGCCACAAACCTGTGTTGCTGTAGCTGTGATCTAATTGTGCATGTTGACATGGAGGAATGAATGGTCGATCTGATGTTAATGATTTTTAGATAGTAGAACAGGTCTTGGGTCATAAAATGGAATATTATATTTTATTAATGGAGAACTTTAGAGATTTTGAAAAAAGACAAGGTTAAGCAGACAGATTATGCAACAATAAAACATAAACTGTAAAACAGAGTTTTGATGGTGGAGAGGTCAGAGCAGTTGTGGAGAGGTTGTTGGAGTGAGTTCTAGAGGGTGGGGGCAGCCATGGAGAGGTTGGTCCTGTGGGAGAGGAAGTCGATGGAGGTGATGTGGTCACTGGTTAGGAGACAGGCAGGACAATTCTGGATGTCTTGATGTTTGGTGAGTGTTTTGGATGGGATACCATGTAGATGCTATTGCTGTAGTTGATTTATGATGTGATGAATACATGAATAAGGGTTTCAGGGACAGAGAAACAAGGGAAGATTAATGTCTAACAAAATACAATTCAATAACATGACTAAAAGATCCTGGAATACCTCCACCACCAATATGCCTGTTCTACTTCTATCACCACAATCCTCCCCCGTCACAATTCTGTTTGCCCCCTCAAATATGCCAGCCTAGAACCGGCCCTGCTCTCTACATACATTTATGTTTATAATGTAGGAAATGAAGAAAACTACTTTCTCCTTCACTGGACTTTAGATTTTAGAATTTTAAATTGTTCAGGAGGTTGTACGTCCCTCAGTCCACAGTATCTACAGTATGTTGGCCTCACAGGAGCCGGGCTTCAGGATCTGTAAAGTTACAATATGTTTAACAGCTTTTCTGAACCAGGGATAAAACATGGCATAGATCAGAGGGTTTAGGCAGGAGTTAAGATAAATGAGAAGGAATAAGAATGATACAAATGTTGTACTTGTAAAACTATCTATAAAATAAAAGCAGCAGTAATATGGACAGAAACACATCAGATACACAACAACAAGAACACCCAGTGTTCTGGCTGCTTTTAGCTCTGATTTCTTTGTTTGTTGTTGCACTGAAAGCTGAAGGGTGACACTTCTATTGTGAGAGTACATGGCACAAGCCTGAGTCACAGCCACCACAAATACTCTCATATACAGAACTATGATGACTGTAACTGGAAATAAAAATGTTATAAACAGATCTAAAGTTCCTACAAAATAGTCAAAAGATATTGTACATTCTCCAATGCAGGAATTACTCCTGCCTGGCTCAATCAGCATATCTTTTAAGAAGAAAGTTACATAGAAAGCAGCACAGCTCCAACAAAGACAAACACAGCATTTCATTCTTGGTAAGGTTATTCTGGTGGGATAATGCAGAGGGTAACAAATAGCCACATAGCGATCAGCTGATATGAGAACAATGGTTCCAATTGAAGCACTGATAGAAACAGAGGCAACATAATAGTAAAATAAACATGTGATATTACCGAGTATCCAGCATTTTGTCTTTCTAAAGATTTCGAATGGAATGATTAAACAGCCAACAAGGAAATCTGACACAGCCAGAGAGAGGATGAGGATGTTAGCAGGTTTCTGGAGCTTCCTACAAAGAAACAAAGTCAGTCAGTGAGGTTAAAATAACTTACGCAGCGTAGAATCACATTCTGATCAGATAAAAATATTGATAAATGTGATGTTTTTCTTTTTAATATCTGCCTGAAATAGGAGACTGAGATTATGATGAGGAGGTTTAGAACTGCTGTGATCAGAGAGAAGAAGGACAATACGATGTTCAGGAGGACAGCTTCAGACCAGTGAGGTGTTGGCCTCCTGCAGGACCTGTTGAGTTGTGGAAAACAGAACTCAACTCCAATCTGTATCTCCATCATCAGATGGATACTGCTGTCTGAGTAGAACCCTGTCACACAGATCATTTATACTTTTCCTTCATTACACAATTCTAATTTGATCTGAGCACTAACATTACTCTTCCCTTGTGGCCAAAAACATCAAGGCAACAAAAACAGGCCAACATATGATGTTAGACAGGAGTCTCCATGGACTAGTATGCCCGTCCGTAGAGGGCTTTAGGACACCATCATCACTTACTTGAAACAACAAAAAAGTTAACAACTCAAAAGTTATTTATATATTTTAGGGATCTCCAACCTTTTTTGGCGTGTGAGCTACTTTTACACAATGAACGTACGATTAGTTCACATAGATACTTTCCATGTGTGAATAAGCTTATTTTAAATATGCTATTTTACTTTATTAACATGCATTGCATTCACAAGTTGATTTCTCTTTATCAATATTACAATTTTTTTAAATAATTAAAAAGTTTAAGGAAAATAGTGACATTCTGAATATTAAACAAAACAAAACATTTTTAACTAACTCAGATAATGAAATACAAATGATTTTGTGTGAATATTTTTATTTTTATTTTTATTATTATTATTTTTTTTTTACCGTGTCCTGTCTGGCTGTGAAGCAAACAGAATTGATGCCTGGATGCTGGTAACAAGCTTTACAGATTTACTCTCAGGTGGAGCATCAAAGCGTCTGCTTTTAATGTCACGCCTGATACTTAAAACTTTATTGTTATTGTTTTTGAATGCTTTGTAATTCTGACCAGACATGGAGTCAGAGGTGAAAGAGAAAGGAAAAGAAAAGGTGGTGGTGGTGGTGGTGTGTGTGTGTGTGTGTGGGGGGGGGGGGTCCACAAAAGTAAACAAGAGTCTGCTTCTAGTCCAGCAGAAAAAGACAAAATAAAGCAAAAGAACAAAGAAAAAGGGACACAACAACAATATAACAAGATCAAGCTATCACTGTGTCAACTTGATGAAGAAATATAATCAACATTGCTTAACTGAAGAATCACGATAATAAATCACAGTGCATTAAGTGCCCAACATAGTCTTAAGACCTGTGTTTAACGTGCCCAAGCCCATACTTTTGAGAGCACCATGTGAGCACCTGTGTGTGCACACACGCTTGTTTATGTAAGGTTTCTCTATAGGAGCGTCCAATAGAGAGTGTGAGGGACCACAGATCCGCCCCCCAAAGATGCGCAGGAGACGGGGGGAGCTCCAAGTCCCAGAGATCCAGGCGCTGCCCCAGAACACAGGAACCCCAAGGAGACTGCAACCAGAAAGGCCCCCTCGAGAGGCACAGAGGATCGCCCCGGGGGGCCACAACCAGCAGCCGGCAGAGTCCCGGAAGACATCAGCGGCAAGCCCACAGTCCCGCCCGCAGCCTCCCACCCCCTAGCCGGCCGAGCCCGGGACCCAGCGACCCGGGACCCAGGGGCGACCACCCCCGCCGGGGACCCAGACCCCACCAGGCAGCCACTGGGATCTATCAGGCAGATGCCAAAATCTTAAACCCCCAGACCCGGTTGCCACGAACACTCAGGCAGACCAAGGCACAACCCCTCACACCAGGTGTGGCATCAAAAGAAGTTCCAGGAGAGGGGAGGAGTCAAAGGCCCCACCTGACATATACAGTCATACACAAACACAGTCACACACTCCCTCCCTCATGCTCACACATGCACATACAACCCAAGACTTACAAAAATGCATGCCGGACACCCACTCATGCTCCGCACACACACCCTATTCACTCTGGTCCCGGTACTGCTGCACATTGGGTACAACCATCACCGGTAACCAGAGTTTTACCCTTTCTGCTGGGGTGCTGATGAGCAGGCACCCCCGCCCAACGCTGAGCACAGCAACCTACAACCCCAGACCCCAACCAGACGGCCAGATCTCCCTCCTAGCCTCCAGCCCCAGGAAGCCAAGCAACAACAGAGGTGCGCTAAGACCCCTAATCTCCCTCCGCCTGCTCCAATATAGTGTTGTGTGATCATGAGGTGTATTCCATGGCTGTGGTGAGCGGGCAGTGCGAGCATCATCCGGCCTATGCCAGCTGATGCCACCGCACCACCCCACTTACACCCTTGTAGGAGCTAAAAGCAGTGTTTTGTGTACGTGCATGTTGACATGTCGCTTATCAAGACCAGCCGTTTATCAGGCAGCCCAGCTGCTGAGTACATGCTCCAAAAACATGTTGATCTGTCCAGCTTATGTAAAGTCTCAACTACTTTTGACCATATTAGGAAGTGGAAGTAGCACTCCATCATTTCTCAGAGGTGGGGGTTGAAGAGTATATGATGCTGCGTGGTGTAGGAGAACGTGGGCTTTGCGGAAGGATCTCCAGCCGAGGTGTTTGGATCGAAGCTGGACGCTGTCCCCATGAAGTGTTGGTGATGTATGGAAGAGTTGTGTAAATAAATGCCCCGCGCTGAGTTTGGACAAATCCTGTCTCTCTCTTGTTTTTGATAAGGAAAAAGAACCACATTTGGCGACCACGAAGGGAGAAGAGGCGTGCTCTTCGGATCGTTTCGCAGTCCACGGAATTTAAACTTCTGGGCCCTAGGTAAGAACAGTTTTTGTTCAATTTTGGAGATATTCCGTGGATTGTGAACTTGTCTGAGAGAAAAAAAACATGCCCTTCTCATAAATTAGAAGTTATAATAACAAGAAGAGGCATTTGTCCAGAACAGCGGTGATAAATATTCACACATGTGTGAAGTCAGCTGAGTCATTTTGATGACGGACAAAGTTTAAGTGACAAATTGAAAGCTGGGACAGCGAGAATTGGAATAGAATTTGACAGCTGATAAAAAGTCCAGGGAGGACAAGTGAAAAAGGTCGTCAATTGAGATCCAGTACGGGAGCCTCGGTGAAGCCGGGCTAAGACTGGGATCTGAGAAAAAGCGCTGAAGTTGTGACAGATAAGCTTGCCAGTAATTCGGTTGAATCCTCGGGGATTGGTAAATTTCATGAGTTTTTGGCAAAGGCATGTTTGACGTCAGAGTTGCAGCAAAGTGGCTGTAAACAACTCCGGATCTCGAATGCTGGAGAATTTGTTCGTTTGTGTGTGTGTGTTTGTGAGAAGAAGTTTGTGTGTGGGACAGGCGTGTGAGATAAGCGTGTGTGTGGAGGAGATAAGCGTGTGTGCGAGTTGAGAAGTGGGTGTGTGAGATGAACGAGGTGAGTCAGGTGCCAGAGAATTAGAGGGGAAAAAAAGAAAAACAAAGGAGTAATACAAATCAATATTATTCACTGCAGTGCTAAATTTTGATGTTTAATGTTATACAAATTTCAAAGTCTGTGATCTTGGTCTGATTAGTCTTTAAACAGAAAACCAGAAGTTAAAATAATAAGTTTTAGAGTGACATATATATAAATAAAAATATATGCTGAAGTGCACAAGCATGATAACTATTTTTACCAGCTGGGTAATGTGAAATATGAGAAATATAGATTATGATTAATAAATAAATAATAATGTTTATGCGTGTTGAGTGTGTGGCATAAAATGTTGCTTTGGTGTCAAATTGCTTTGAAGTGTGTTTTCTTATCTCTATGCAAGTGTGAAAGCTTTGCTGTGTGTGGTTGTTTTACTCGTGAAAGTTCAAATACTCTGATCTTGTTTAAACTATTGCTTGGATAAATTAGAGAGAAACTGATTCTTCTTCTGCTGATTCGGTCTCTATTGTGGTTGACTTTTTCCTGTGTTGTAATGTTATAAAGCTGTATGAGAGTTGCTAAAATCTGAAGGCTGAATGCTCTTGGGTGTCGTCAGCGTGTCCGTTTCTCCGTAGACACCCTGAGCTGTCAGACCCAAGTTTAGACTGAATAGAGGGGCCAGTCCAGAAGCGCAAAGCTCCACCTACAAGCTGTCCTCTCCATACACACGCACAGACACAGAAGTACAGAGGCGATCCCGCCTCTGACTCCACCTCTGTGTGTGGATAGGTTGGTGAGCCAGAGGGCGTAGAGAAACCCCACCCTGTGGGCTGAGTTTTGCTCACACACAAGCTTGAGATTCAGCATAAGGCTATTTTTAGCCTGCCACTGCAGCAAAGCTGCTAAGGATAAATAAATACATATTCAATCCAGATTTAAAAGGTTCACCTATAAAAACTTTCAGGCATTAAGTTTTTCTTTCAACAATAACTAAAGCTTTTTTGAACTAACTTTACTTTAGTGTTACATCAGAAGAGATTTGATTTTAAGGCATTTACAATAAGAAGATAAATTGTTCAACATTTGTGTAAACAGAGCAACAACAGATTACTCAAGACCACAGCATCATATGTCACCAGTATCTATTTCAACTTTCAATTCTTGTTTTATTTTCAGGAGATTATAAATAATTAGTTTACTAATCAGAGGAATAATAAGTGTCACTGAAAATTCAAAATGTCGGTCACGCCAGCAGGAATTTTGGGAGCAAAGAATCCTGCTTTAGCAAAAGAGATAAAGCACATGTCAGAGAAGTGGTCAAAACGGACGAGAAAACTATGCAATCCGTGGCCATCTGAAGGCACTTTCGACGTAGCAGTGTGCGATAATTTGGAATTGAGAATTCAGGATCATAAAGCAGATGGGTCCAAGAAAAGACAGCAGAAAAGAGAAAAGGAAATTCAGATCCTGGATTTATTCAGGAATGAAGGAAAGATTTACAGACAGAACTTTAAACAAGCCATCCTTAAAATGAAAGACAAAGTGGACAAACCCCAGAAGGAAGTGAAGGCCCCAGCAGAAGAGGGCCTGTATCCCCTTTTGGGAACCGTTACAATTACGGGAGATTTTGATTTGCGCGACACATTCGACAAAGGTTCTAAGGGTTTAGATGTTGACAATGCAATTTTAAAATTAACAACATCACAGCAATCAGATGAAGCACTTGGCAAAGAAAAGCATGCAAAAGGAAGTGAGGAAAGAGAATTCGAACAAACAACTCCACCTCGTGGAACGCATCCAAAATATTGCAGTACAGAACGTCGAGCGGTAAGTGAAGAAGGACGAAGGGAGATTTATTGTTTTGCAGAACATAAGGATTTTTTGAAAAGGCAACCGAAGGCTAACTCATACTGGATTGACCTTGAGAACAAGGATGAGGATGTACATGATGAGCTAAACGATGTTGACCAAATTATACAGGACATATCTGAAGGCCTGCGGAAATCCTTAAATCACATCACAGGCACACATTCAGATGAGGGTAGTGAGAACACCACTAGCACAAGCAAGGAGAAAAGTTTCAAGCCTTTTTACAAACCAGGCATTCACTCACCAGAGCGTGGTGACCCAAATACAGGTCTGACTCAGGAGA